ATTGTCCCCAACTCCCAACTAATGCAGATAATGAATTGAAAATAATTTGTTTGAAATTTGAACCTTGGACTCTTTGGAGAGTAAATGGATGGCAGTGCGAATGAAGAATTTCAGAGTTTTGTTTAATTTTGTTTTGAATTTTTTTCTGCTTCATTTCTTATTTTACTTTGTACTGCAATTAAATAAAATAAAGTAAAATTTGAAATAAAAATAAATGTACACTGTTTCATGATTCCTTTCTTTTTATTTTGTTGGGTTTTTATTTCCATTAGGGTTTCTCGTTCTCTGTTTTATTCTTTTTTTTTTCTTATTGTTTCCGTATTTTATTAACAAAGAAAAGACCTAATTAATAGTAAAAGAGAGTACATGTTTTCTAATTATAAAAGTTATAAAAGGGATTCGACTATGATACCAAAAAGATATCATATCCCAAAAACTTGTGACCAATTAACCAGTATCAGAAATGTGGTAACCAATCAGATGGTATTTATCAAAATTCACGAGTGAGCTTTGATTGGTCAAAGTTATTCTTGTACCATGTCTTTTCACCTACTAAAAAATGTACAAGAACCAACTGGATCCCTCAATTAATAACTAATCATCTCTAATATCTTACTAATTGATAAATCTTAGAAGAATATTTATTTGTATTATTACTTTTTTTTTTTGAAAAGCACAAAATAGATTCATTGAATTTGATCAACATCCAATACAGGTGTAAGGAAATCAGGGGGTGAAGACCTTATTAGGATGCATTTTCTTTATTATACTAGTAAGTGTGCATGTGGCAGTCCTAGGTGATGATAATGATAGGAATAATATATCCAAAATTTTATATAAAATTCATATATTTTTATTTTTATATATATATTTTTTATTTTCACTATTAGCCGGATGCAGATTGCAAAATCCAAATCTGATTATGTAAGTACCTCATATTGGGCTAAAAGTTTTGGGTATCATTGACAGACCTACCCACTTGGCTAGACTCTTCTTTTTATAATGATTTATCTTCCTAGTGTATTTTTTTTTTACATTTGTCAAAAAAAATGTAAGATTTAAAGAGAGAGAATTGAATAAGGTCAAAATTGTAGTTCAAACTACATTTTAAACGTCACAAATTAAATACGGATTAAATTCAAAAAATGGATCTTTTAGTCAAAAGAAAGTTCCATAATCTTATTCATATTTTTAATAATAGTATAAATATGAAGTTATAGATGCGTTCAATTTTTTCTATATTTTTTTATGTGTGTAAAAATAATATTGTTATTTACACTTATTTTTTATTTAATATGATAAATATAGGATATTATACATGTGTCCAAATATTGTTTTTGTAAAATTTATGTACTTTTATTTATGTGTTTTTATATTTTATTAATTTTTATTATTTAATTATGACATTAAATGTTGACAAATTTTACCCAAAAGTTGAACTATTGATTTCCACTAAACAGGAAAATAATTTAATCTTTTGGTTTGTTTTAGATCATGTATTTCATTTTCATCATCAATAAAAATATTCTTGTTTATTACACTTGTTTTTAATTTGATTTATTAAAAAAATCATAAATGTGTCTATTTTTCTACTTTTTTTTTGTAATTTTCTATATTTTCATTTTCATCAATAAAAATATTCTTGTTTATTACACTTGTTTTTTTTTAATTTGATTAATAAAAAATATCATAAATGTGTATTTCTTCTACATTTTGTAAATTTCTATATTTATTTCTATTTATATTTTTTTATTATCTATGATTACATGGGTTGGCTAGTTTGATTTGGATAGTTGAATTGCTTAGCCATCACTTGGATAAAAAATTGTTTTGTTTTTGAGTAAGTTTTAAAATATATAGGTTTGTATTATTAAAAAGTATTGGATATAGAGAGATTTGATAACTTAAATATGAGATTAGTGAAAAATAACTAGGGAGAATAGGAGTTAATACCTTAAATACAAGAGTTAATTAGAGGGAATTAAATGAGGTGAAAATCATTAATTAAAGTTAATTACATTTTCAACCTTCATAATTAGAGATGGACTGAATAACAAATGTGGACATTTTAGTCAAGAAAAATTCCACACATAGATTTATATTTATTATATACTTACGCATAATTTATTTATTCTAGAGATATAAGATGACCTTATTGGTATTTTGCTTATTTAGGAGAAGACCCATTTAGACAAGGATACACTAGGATGATTAAAATTTCCCAACTCTAAGGTTTGAACACATTCTACAAAAGGACAAATAGAAACCCCCTTTTTCCTTCCATCTCCGTGATTAATCCAAAAATCATCTCTTCCCACCCATAATTTTCAAAATAGTTGCTATTAAGAAGTGACCATGGCTTATAATTTCAACAATTTATAGTTCTTGTTCACATCGGAAAGGAAACTTCTGAATTGGCAGGTTATTATTATTATTATTCTCTTTTACTACAAGTCTACAAGTTAGCAGAACTATTTAGGCTGCACTTGGTTGCAATGCAGATTTGAATTAGATATAAATTTTGCACCTAGTTAAGTTTTGCATCGACTTGTTTATGACTATGGCTCGGTTTGGAAGGAGTATAAATATAAATATGGAGAGTGCAAACAATGTATTTTGTATGTATTTGTGCTGTATATATTTGTATTTGTACTTTTTCCAATGACTTGGCTTAGAAATACAGAATACAACTATACAAGGCTTTGCATTATACATATTTGTATTTATATTCTTTCCAATTGATTCAGTATGGGAATAGTGCACACAATGGACAGTAAAATTACAAGATTTAGAAATACCACATATAAGATTTTTCACTTTAACATATATAAATTTGCACTCTTTCCAAACTGATCCTATAGCTTGTATTTTTATCTGGTGCAAAATTTGTACCCTTTGTCTCGTTATATCAATTGTTAGTGCAAATTTGCACCACTTCCTCCTACCTTGATATTCTCTTATGTAAAGTGGGTCTCATATCAATTTTCTTGTTACCTCACTCCCCTCCAAATAAATAACCTCCCTCCCCTACCTCATTTGTCTTTCATTGGCAAGGTTTTTAAAATCAGACCGGATAGGGAATCATTGCAGGTTCGGTTCCCGAGTCGAATGGTCTGATCGTCCAGTCTAAATGGATGGCCCACTTTGACAAAAAATATAAAAAAATAAAAACAAAAAAGAACAGCCAAAAACCGTTGTCCAATTTGACAGCTCAATCACCTAAGTCAATGGTTTGCTGACCAAATCAACGATTTTTGGCCAAAAGACAATTTTGCGGTTAAATAGAACCGGTCAAGTGATTGATTCCCAATTTTCTAGTATGACCGTCCGATCCAGTTCGGTTTTGAAAACAATGTTCATAGGCACCATTTTACTTCTTACAAGCAAACAAAGTAAGTTCAAATCTCAAACAAAAGTAAGATTCACACTTTGTTCATTTGCATTCCTATGCATTTACACCAATGCAAATGAAATTCAATCTATTCCATCATTTTCAATGGAAATACGAGTATACAACAAATATTTCAAGAACGAGGTGTAAAAAGGGAGCTATAACTTAGGGTCTTTTTCGAAAAGAAAAAAGAAAAAGCTAGAACTTAGGACATACTTGGAATCGGAATTGCAATCCCTTGAACCGGAGTCAAAATGATCTATTCCCAAAATCTGTTTGGTTCAGACATGAATTAAGATCAATTGGAATAGGATTTCATTCCAAGGGAGGGAAGGGAAATGGTCCAATTGGGGGAGTGCCATAGGGTTCAAAGTATTGATACATATTGGGCATACTGTATCATATTGGCAAGGTTCTGATACACCTATTTAAAGGTGTTTTCATAAATCTATTTATTTTATTTATTAAATAATATAAAATATTTATAAAAATGAAAATTTGAGAAAACAAAAAGTAAAAAGCCATTGTATCAAGGTTTTTAAAATCAACCCGGAGAATGAACCGGTCAGGGGTCTGGTTCCCGGGTCGAACGGTCAGCCTGTTCTGACAAAAAAAAAAGGTCAAAACTATTCAAGTGGTTAACCGCCCGGGTTAGCAGTTTGCTAACCAAAATCAACAGTTTTGGGTAAAAATCCAGTTTTGGGGAAAAATGGAACCGGTCATCGATTCCCAGTTTTTCTAGTCCGGCCGTTTGGTTTGGTTCGGTTTTGAAAACCATGCATTGTATAAAGTAGCAATGCACCTTTGCGGATGCATAGAAGTGTACCGATATGTGGATTTGAGCCGAGTTGAGCCGAGTAGCTAGCTATTTGAGCTCGACTTGCCAAGAAAGTATGGTGCTCAAGCTCGAGCTCAGTTCGAGCTAGAGACTTGAGCTCAAGTTTGGCTTGAGTCAAAAACTCATAAGTTTGAGCTTGACTATGAGCTAAATGTTTTATAAAAATAAAAAAGATTATATTTAAAAATTATTGTTATTTGATATTTAAAATTTTAAGAATTATAATAATTAGTTATTGTTATTATTATATATAAAAACAATATTATATATATAACATTTTTATTGTATATATATTTTTCTATATGTATAATGTTTTTATATTTATTATTTTTTATATGTATGTATACTTATATAGATATATGTAGAAGCTCGATTAGGCTCGCGAACTTCATGAGCCGAGCTTTATTAGGCTCGAGCTTGACTTAATTAGCAAACATACCTATAAATTAGGCTCAAGATCGATTCGAAGCTAGGTTTAAACCGAACCAAGCTGAGCTCAAATAGCTTGTGAAAAGCTAAACTCGTGACCACCCCTATCTCATTTCGAACCTTAACCCAGAACGGGAATGGAATTCCAATTTAGTCCGGTCACCGAAATTCTGATTCGAGACCCTATTGGCTATTCCCTCTAGCCAAACGGGCCGTTAGACGTCATTAAATTCTTCGTCCTTTTCGTATTTAATAAATACAACGCTGGACATTAAATCGGCTTTTAACCATTATCACTAATGCGATGATCCATCCATAATTTGCAGTCAAAACAGGTGGCATTTATCGTACACTTCCGTTTTCACAGAACTCTTGAATCTTAACCGACGACTTGGATCTTTTTGTTAAAGTGGTCCTTTGATTATTTCTTACTTCACATCCTTCTCCCGCTTCGTTCACTGACATAATTATTAAACCTGCTTATCCTAACCAGAATTCAACAGCGAAGAAGAAGAAGAAGAAGAAGGAGAAGAGATGCTGAAGCCTTTGCTTGGTGGCGAAAGCAGTAGTAGTGACCAACAGTTCGGACAAAAGGTGTTCCGCAGAAGGTCTGATGCCATCACTTATGGCTCACGTTATCAAAAAGCGGCAGCACTTGTAGATCTGGTTAGTTTCTTTCTCACTCTAATTCAGTTTGGATCAGTGGGGGCTTTTGCTCTATAACTGAGTCGTGTTGTGCAGCTAGACATCATTGTTTTCAGTTCTGGATGTTAAATTCTGTGGGCTCAGTGGTGAAAATTCTGGAGATCCTCTAAAGGTGGATAATGGTTATAGAAAGAACCTCTATGATCGGTCAGGAAATTTAGTGTTGATGACGGGTGCTGAAGGTGGTGACATTGTACTACAATTAAATGCCATCTTGAGGAATTTGACAGAGAACTGAAGATTAACAAACAAAAATAAAACCCCCGGAACATGAGTGTTGTTATGACTTGCAAGAGCATTGGAAGATGTAATAATCATTTGGTTTGTGAAATTATAGATTGATAAAGGATGCATGCATGGTTAACACAGTTACAATAGTTTGTCATGTTGTAGTGTGATTACTTGTCTTAGTTATTTGATACCTTTGCAGCAACTAATTATTTCCGAAAGGGGTGGCGTTCTCTGCCTTAGTATTCCATTGGTATTGATTATTGAAGCAGATGGACATTATGTAGGAGTTATTGCAATGTATTTTCTTGGTTGCTTTCTAGGCCTTATGTCATATAGGTCAAAAGAAGTGCATACGAATTTGGACTGTTGGGTGTTGTAATGCTTCTCAAGTGGATCATAGGCCAATGGCTACAAATTAGATGGTTATGGTGCTATTTTATTCTTTGGCCTTGGTTCACTCTGTTTAAGTTCTAACAAGACTATTGGTATTCTCTGCCTGATGCTCTTCCATTTCTGTTTTTGGTAAGCACATGGATAAGTGAATGAACAAAGAGCAGAATATTTGTCAACTTTGATGTATGGAGATTATTGAGACCTTCACCCATGATGCTGCATCTAAGATTGTGTAAACAAAATTGTTAGCTTTTTTCCTAGTGATCATAATTGTTCACCAATTTTCATGTTTCAGCTATTGAGTGAATTGGTACTCAGGTGAACTGGGTTTGTAAGAACACTTTGAACATCTGAAAAAAATTATCATTCTTATCCTGAAAACTCTTAAGGTTCACAACTGAAGAGGTTGACTCTGGTCCTTTGTATATCGCAAATGTTTTAAAGATTGGAAGCACTGTGAAGTCCAACCTAGGGCTATGAACCAACATTTGAAATGTTAGTCATCCAAACATAGAAAGCATGGCAGAAATGTTGTATAGAAATATCATAAAAATTACAAACACGGTGTAATCATTGTGAGACACGCAATCATATAGAATAGCATTTTATGCAATGATGAAAGAAGCATAGATAAACCCTTTTAAATTATTAACTTGGTCCAAACCATCTAACAAAGCTAAGAAACTAAGGTTAGTAGACAAATTCATACCTTGCAAAGTTGTCTTGTAAACTTTAAGAGTTAAAGCTAGATAGTAGAGTGAGTTTAAGCAAAATTAAAAACTCATACAAAGTGGTGTTTCTAATAGATCAACCAAATAATCTATTACATGAACAAAAACTATCATTTATGTCTGAAAAAAACTACTAAAACTAGGATCATGGCCATTAGGCAGACAATAATACTGCTACTCTGCACATCTATAATAATGTTGCCAACTTGTGTTATAATACCATTTATGTATTCCACATAATGCCAGTAGTTTTGACAGGGAATATGTTGATTCCAGTAGTATTTTGTGTCAATACCCATGGAAATGGAAATATAAGGGAACATGTGGACATTTTAAACTATGTTATGAATTGCACATTGAGAAAGCTATTGTTAGCTATATCACCTAGATATGACACTTATGAGGCACCTCTACATCATTTATTCGAAGGAATTTAGGAGTAGATCCAATAGGTGATAAAATGAAGGAAAGTAGACTAAGATGGTTTGGTAACATATTGAAGAGGCCATCTATAACACCCATAAGAAGAAGAAATCTGTTGCAAGTTGAATGGATAGAAGAGCTAGGGGCAGATCAAAAAGGACATGGGTTGAAGTAGTGAAAAATGAAATAGCAAATTTGATTCATGTAGCTGATCTTATATTTTTAGGACTTGGGACAAGGATTAGATGATGATGATCCTGAGGGTAAACGATGCCCAATATGTTGTTGAAATCCTAAGATAGGTAGAGAGAAAGGAAGTTGTGGTAGTAGGGGTCATTACGTTAGGGCCATAAAACATTGGCTGTTTGGTGGTTGGGGAGGGTAAGAGGTTGGATTGTTTACTGGTTGTAGGTGATCCTCTATGGGTTCTCAAAGGGCAGGCATTTTTGTGATATCTTGTTTGAGGGGTGTGGTTTCCATCTCTGTTTGGTTTATTTGGTATCTCTGGTCGTCTGAGTTGGGGTTCAAGTGGGATGCTGTATTAAATATCTTTTTATAGGAAGGTGCTGTCAGGGCTTAAGTATTATCTTTTCTTCTCCCTTTTCTTTTTTTGGTTCTTTTTTATTCTTTCATGCCTCTATTTTTGTTTCTTTAGGTGATGAATTTTGTTACCTATCAACAGAAAAATAATAGTTGAAACTGTACAAAGGTTGTGTTTTGGTTATACTGGTTGTGGATTTTTTTTTTTTTTGAGGAAAAAAGGTCAAATATATTGTGTTTCCATAGTACTGATTACAAGTCTATGTGCAGTAATTGCACAGGATAATACAAAAAACAAAAAAACTCCCATCTGTTTTTCATCCATCTAATTGTTTATGCTGATTGTTAAGTGAATGCAGCAATGCATTTCACAAATTTGATATTCTCCAATTTTTCCATGCTAATTAGTAATTAGTCTTTATCAAGTTCTTTGCTCCGAGACATTTTTTGGCCTTTGGATATGACCTAACTGCAATCTCCCTGCTCCTAGATCATCTTCTGAAATAATTGTTGTTTTCTTAAGTTGTAGCAAGTCATTCTGGTTCTTGTACAGACCACAATCAAATAAGTAAGAAGTGTATTTATTTATTTATTTCAGGCTGAAGATGGTATTGGCTTACCTGTGGAAGTTCTTCATTCAAGATTCGAGAGTGGAGCAAAGTTCTACTTCATCTATATTAAGTTTGACTTCCTCTGGTTTCTTAATCTTTTTGCCTTGATAGTATTGAATTTCTTTGAGGTCAGTTGAATTTTTATGGTTTCTTGTATTACTTTTTCATATGCAAACTGGTGCTGGGCCTAGTGTAGTGTATATTGAAAGATGCCATTTACTGGTTTATTGCGTTTTTCTTCTGTATATAGCAACATGCATGGCTTCGAATTTTATGTTTCTGTGCTCAATATTATTCTCCTAAGTTCAGTGCCAGTTTCTGGAATGTTACTGATATGGATAGCTAATTAACTCTCCTTTTATTTTCCATTTAAATTTTTGCAGAAGCCTTTATGGTGTGCCAAGACTACTACATACTCTTGCAATAATAGAAAGTATTTCTTCCTTGGGCAGCTACCATACTTAACTGCTACCGAGTCGCTTGTTTATGAGGTTGTTGTGGTTGATTTTTTGGACATTTAAGAAATGTTCTTTTTTTTTGGGATCTTACTGTTTTTCATAAAAATTTTGAAAATATCCTTTTAAATTATTTGGGGGGGGGGGAATTGCTTGGTGCAATGGTAAAATCTTGGTCTGACAAGCATGAGAACAGGGGTTCAAGTCTGAGAGTGGCCACTTTGTGTAACTGTAAACAATGACAAAGGTTTGGTCTGTATCCAGTTCACCCCTCCCAAGTCTGGACCATCATTGGGCAATGCCTTTTAAGCTATATATTAATTAGTGCATGCAAGCCGATCTCAATTAGTTGGGATTAGGGATTAATTCAGTTGAATATCTATTAGCACTTATAAATATATTCAACTCAACTCAACCAAGCCTTGTCCAAACTATATGGGATCAGCTACATGAATCCTGTTCTGCCATTCAACTCTATTCACTGCCATATCTCTCACTATTTCAATCCATGTTTGTTTCGGCCTGCCCCTATCTCATCTATACCCTTCCATTTGCAACAGATCACTCATAAATATATTACTTGTCCAAACTATATGGGATCGGCTACATGAATCCTGTTCTGCCATTGAACTCTATTCACTGCCATATACATTGTTAAATTATGGGCCATGAAATTATCTCTCATTATTTTCAATCCATGTCTGTTTTGGCCTGCCTCTATCTCTTCTATACCCTTCCATTTGCAACAGATCACTCATAAATATATTAGTTGTTTAAGTTCAATCATTTTTATGGGATTCAAGCATGACTCAGTCATGATATGCCTGTTTGAAACACTGTTGATTCAAAAGTCTTTTTTGATGATATTAATATGGTTTGTTGTGGTCTGACTAAGTTTCCTGACAGGAACTAGATGGACTGAACTAGTCATGGACCATGTGATGGACTATCACAGTTCTTGGTCGTTAATGGTTGGGAATGTCTAGTTGATTTTTCATCTGACAGATAGTATATTTATTTCCAAACCTATGAGACTTCATTTATAATCCATATGGTCAAAACTAGACTAGAGGAAGGACACTGTCTCATCTGGAGTTTGTGCCTCAAATGACAATGTAGAGATGACTATAGGATTCCATTGTATTGTGTAAATGCAATTTTTTCTGACTGTTAATCAGAACCTATCCATTATATGAATCAATTCTATTTAAATGACTTGTGTCTTTTTTCTTTTTTCTTTTTCAGGGGATAACTCTCTTAATACTTGCCATACACACCCTGTTTCCAGTTGCATATGAGGGATACCATCTTTATTGGAAGAATCATTTGAATAAATTAAAGGTATGTAGTTTTTAATTTTTCTTTGAGGATTACTTTTCAAATATCAACATTTACCCTTGAAAAGGTTCTGGTTGATTATTGAAGGATGGAAATCTCAATTTTTTTCTACAAACATCCTTAAACCAAGTCTTGAAAACCTATGAAAATATTCTGCTTTCTATGTGGTTCCTTCCATTTTGTCAGCAATTAAAGATTATCAGAAAACATGGTTGAAATGAAAATTCCCCTAGTTCATAATCAAATTAAAGGTTAAGTTCGTAAAAGGCTTGACTTTATATTGACTATTGTCCTCTGATGAGTTTAACTATTTTTTTTTGATAATAAAAAGAGAAATTTTATTAAAATAAAAAATACTAAAAGAGTGCAACCAACTACATGAAGCGTTTTTAACAAAACAAGAAAGCTGAAAACATAAAATGCATTGAATACAATTTAATCCAATACTATGTAAATCCAATGATGTCCAAAGCTTCTCCTCTAAGTATTCCCCTTCTCCATTTTTGAATTCTTGATGCACATGAACCTAGTCAGCAATCATTTGTGAAACATCTGCTACCAATTTCCTCATTGATCTAATTTTTTCTTCAAATATGTTCCTGTTTATTTCCTTCCAAACAGTCCAGCAAACTGCAAAAAGGTATCAAAACTCCAAATGATTTTTGTCTTTTTTCTACCTCTTATCCTAGAGCCTAAGCCAGGTTGCGGAAATTTCTTTTGGAAATTTAGGGCAGAATTTCTGCACATTGAAGATGCCAAAAAAGAAGTTCCAAATGAAGTATATAATTACATCGGATAAGTACCTTGCATTCTTCTAATTTTCCAACATATAGATGCTTTGTTGAAAAACTTGGGTGGCATTTTGTTAGGCTTTCTAAGATCCTTTAGATCCCCCAAACTTGAAAGATCTCTTAGGCTTTCAAAGATGAAGATAAAGCTTGGAAAGTCTGTTTGGTAGCATTGATCTCCAAACCATTGCCTTTGGTCTCATGAGTCACACAAAGAGCGACTTCTAGTTGTTTTATAAATAACTAGAAAGATTTATGAGCTTTAGAATAGAAGCTTAAAGCAAAAAATTGGAATGATTCTTCCATTGAAGTTTCCTGTTTTTGGTCCTTGGCTTCTATTGGACTGTGGCCTTCAAAGAACAGCTTACCAAACTCTAAAAACTTTGTGGTGTTTCTTATGTAATGCTTAGCTATTAAGGATTATATGGATCTAGGAAACAAAAGAGAAATTAATGTAAGTGTAGGATCTGAATAGGGGGTCTACATATATTGGTATGAGAAGCTAATTGTTGTCAGTTATATCTTAAGTTAAACATTACATTTCTGAATTTACTGAAGCTCTTGCTATGTTTGGTTCAGTTAACCATAACCAGCTAATCAGCTTTTTCTCTATTATACTACTTAGCTCTTCTGTTCTTTCTTTTTGTAAGACTGAGTTTACTGCTGCTCTTCTTCTGGATCTTGGATATTCTTGACATCATATCTAGAAAAACAACAATATGGTTGAGTTTTGGAGGGGAATTACATGTTCCCAATTTCCATACAAAACAACATTCTAAAGTCAAACTCTAGACCTCTGTTGTCACCCTAAATGTCCTTTGAATGCTTAGTTTCTCAAGCCAAGCAAGATGGTTCTGTTTGAGAATGTCTGACAAAAGTGAGGATAAAGATGATTAATTGAACTACCTAAACCCTAAGGAGGTTTCAGCAAAAACTTCTTGAAGGTATCTTTTTAGAGAGAAGCACTTTTAACATTTATATGAACAATCACCTATTAACAAACAAGAATTTCAGTTCATGATGTAGAACCAGCTGAGTTCTAGTCCTTAGAATATGTTGAATGGTCTTCTTGATCAGAGTTTTATGGCTGTTGATTGCTGTAATGGCTTTTTGAAGGAATAAGAGAGAAAATAGGGAGAGAAAGAAGAGAGAAAATACCTGGAATCACTCACAGGGTGCCTAGAATCACTCTAGGGCATGGGAGTCACTCACCATAGCTAGCATAAGCTGAAGAAAACTYAATATATTTCATTGCTCTTTATGTAAAACGTCCATACATATTTATAGACTCTAAACTCGTAACAATCCTAGGAGTCAAACTGTTAGACTCATAATAGTCTTAGGAGTCAAACTGTTAGACTTRATAATCCTAGTAGGACTCAAAYTAAGYTGTCATATCTTATTTCAATTCAAAGAAGACTCAATAACTCTAATCCTACTTATGCAATGACTCTGAAATTTTAAACATAAACAAACTATAACTAGACAACCAAACCCTATTATTGGACCCCACAGAAAATTGCAAAAATAACAAAAATACCCCTACTGTCCAAAAATACAGAAATACATAAAATATCATAAAATTCCAAATTTGGCTCTTAAGCGCCTGCATCAGTTCAACTTTGAAACTAGACTCATTGATTGTATCTTTAAATGAAAAAGAAAGATTCTGATTTTAGCTTGATATCCATATGTTAAGTTCAACATCTCTACAAGGATCCATTGAACATCATGGCCTTTGTCTTTGGCCCTGTACACATGTATAAGTTGTAAAACAAGAGTAAAAAACTAGGGTTTAGAAGAGAGAAAGGAAGAGGAGAGAAGAAGAGATGTGTCGAGAGGTTGTGTGTGATTGTTACTGTTAACACCCTCAAAAGATCTTTATATTTTGAAAAGAGAAACTTACAAGGAAGCCCCTACGTGGGCGCCCAAATACAAAAAGAGTACAAGGGAAGAGAAAAAGTCCAAAAACACCCAGCCCACCTTGTCAAGGTTCTTAGCAAACTTTGGATGGTGAACACCTTTAGTGAGGCAATTAGCTAGTTGGTCTTCCGACCTTACAAAAGGAAGGCAAATCTCTCTGCTAGCAACTTTTTCTCTAATAAAGTGTCTATCCACCTCAATATGCTTTGTACGACCATGTTGGACAAGATTGTGGGCAATATTTATGGCTTCTTGATTGTCACAATATAGTCTCATTGGGACATCTGCTTGGATGCCCATCTCAGTCAATAAAGTCTTCAACCAGAGTAGTTCAGACACTCCATGAGCCATTGCCTTGTACCCTGCCTCAGCACTAGAACGGGCAACAACAGATTGTTTCTTACTTCTCCATGAAACCACATTGCCTCCAACTAAGGCACAATAACTAGATGTAGATCTTGTATCATCAATAGATCCTGCCCAATCAACATCTGTGTAAGCCTCAATCTTTAGATGGCCGTGATTGGAATACAACATCCCTTTACCAGGGCATCCTTTCAGATAGGCTAAAATTCTGTTAACTGCCTGCATATGAGATGTCTTGGGTTCATGCATATATTGGCTAATGTTAGAGTGAGCCGAATAGGGGTAGTCTAGTAATCTCATGTCAGTTAAGTACTTTGCTTATGTGGCTGTTTTATTAGAGCACTCTGCCCCACACTTAAGTGTGGGCAGTTTAGTCTTTGTAAGTGTAATTAGAACCTAATAAACATAAGGGGGTCGACTGAATGGGTGACTAATCAGTTTCGACTAAACCCTCCTGTTTTCTCTTTCTCTTGTCTTCTTCCTCATCTTCTTCTTCCTTCTTCACTGGTTCGGATTACTGTAGTTGCTCCAAAACAGCTAACCACTCCAACAACATAGGTGATAAACATTCAACTCATTACGAATGTTTCTCATACTAGCATAGTACTCTTCAAGACTTTGATTGCCCTGTTGCAGATTAAAGTATTCCTGATACAACTGATATACTCTGGTTGTATTGCCTTGACTAGAATACAACTTCTTAGCATGGTCTCACACATCTTTGGCAATGTCAAGAAACATGAAATTTACACTAATCTTGGGTTCCATACTGTTCCATAACCATGTGATAATTTGTGCATCCTCTTGTTCCCAGTCTTCATACTCATGAGAATCAGTGGAGGGTTTCTCCTCCCTTATGTGTTTCACCTTTTTCTTTGCCTTCAGAAAAACTTCTACAGATTTAGCCCAAGGTAATTCTCTCCATTCAGTTT